AGCTTTCTTCACCACATTTGCTTATGTACCCGCTTTGTCTTCAGTGATCATGTTGGGAAGGTGAGCATCATGGAATACCGGTTTAATAGAACAAAGTGTTCTTGCATTGTGGGAGTACTTGCGAAGAGTTTAAAAGGGCTCGACTTCTTGGTAACGCTTTTAGAATTATGAACACATTTTTGAAGATCTGTTCACATGAAGAGTAAACAGAGGAGAAGTATAGTCCAAACGGGAAGGTGATAAGACTGTTAGCAGCGCTCATCGTCAGGCTGCTACAGAGATGAATGAGCAGGAAGGCTCCATGACATGATTCCTTTAAATCAGTTCCCTCCTCATGTCCATGGTGCTCAAACATCACCCCACAGACGCATGAACTCTCTAAGTGACATTAGAGTCCGTGTGCAATATTTAATTGTTTTTATGTCACAAGGGAAAATAAAAGCTCTTTAAGCAACTGATCTCCAAGAAGGAGCAAGGAAGGTGTCTTTATTAAACCAACATGTTGATGGAGCTCACTGCGCCTAGCTTACTAGTCACAGTGTCAAAGGAGATTACTGATTTTAAGAAAGCATCAGAAAAATAAATAAGAATGTATCTAGTTAGGAGAGATTCAACTTCATATTTTCTGAGTTGCCTCAGTACTCGTTGTTTAGTAACACTTTCACCAAGTTCTGGGGGAAATTTGGGGTGCCTGAAGTTAATTGTTAAAATGAGGTGAAAATTTTGTGATTTCATAAGACTATCAGTTTCTATGGACTTGGTTTTTATTCTAATATTTAATCAAGTTTTACATGTTTCTTCTATCAAAAATCAGCAGTTAGTACATATACAATGCCTATTGCTCAGTAAATGACTTGTTAGTAAGAAGTTAGTAAGTAAAATGTCATGCTAAAAATTGATCTGACTGTGTTTTTCTCAGGATCACCTTTCTGCTAAATTTCTGTAATTAAAATCTTCCAGTCCACCAAATTAGAAATTGACATTGTTTACTAAATAACTATCTTTCATCCTTTTTCACTGAACCCTGTGTGTTCTGCCTTTGAAATGTTTCAAATATCTGTGTTTCTTTCTCATTCCTATTACTGGCACACATATAAACTACAACAGTTGTTTTGTAACCGACTTACTAGTGGTTTTTCTGCTATTTATAGGGTAAAGTTAACGTTTCTCAGCCTACCATGAAAGTCTTGTAGCCCCATTCTGCAGGACCAGGTCTCATTTTGGTCCCTTTGTGCATGGAGTTTCATGAGTCAGGTCAGCAGCCAACAGCAACTAACTTAAACATCACTCATTCACTGCCATCGAGTTAATGCTGACCCAGTGACCCTCTGTAGGTTTTCTGAGACTATGGCTTTATGGGAATAGAAAGCCCAGTCTTTCTCGCAAGGAGCTGCTGATGGTTTAGAACTACCGATCACGTGGATGGAAGCCCAGCGCATAATCACTGTACAGTGAACCCTCGCCACTTCGCGCTTCGACTTCTGCTGCTTCACTCTATC